AAGACTGGGTTGTTTCACTGCAATGTAACATAGTGAGCCGTATTGGTGTTTTACCAATAAATGGCACCCTAATGCATATGCAGTAAGAAAAAATAATTTAATGCGCTGAAGGCTGATCTTAAAGCGGAGTTCCACCCAAAAGGGGAAATTCTGCTTTAAAAATTGGTCCCCCGTTTCCCATTAAGGATTGGCACCTTTGAGGAGCGGGGTGGAGGGTAGTACCAGAGTTTGACAGGCACCCGCTCCCACTACGATCGTCTAGGCGATCGTAAGCAGCAGTTGTCTTCCTACCTTCCCTCCCCGAAGTCTTGTGGAACTTGTGACAGGTCTCAGAAGACGACAGGGCTATTCAGGAAGCGCGGCGCTACTCGAGCATGTGCAGTGGGCACCCGGCTGTGAAGCCGCAAGCTGTCACAGCCGGGTGCCCACACTGAAGATGGCTGAGGTGGAGGCACAGTGGGATCATGTGACAGGTGAGTGGCTGTTTTTTTTTTTTTTTTTTTTTTTTAAAAGTCAGCAGCTACAGTTGTTGTAGCTGCTTATTATTTTACAGAGTGAGTGGAACTCCACGTTAAATCACTTAGTACAGTTTAAGACCAATATTTCTCAGAACTTTGGTAGATCACCACACTAGACCATCACCTAGCGATCATTATGGCACTGGCATCACTAGTCTCTAGTAAACCAAACGGCTAGATCTTTGTCCAGTTAACTAACCCTTACATAATAAAGATCAGTTACATAAAGCTATGGAAGGATTATGACCCTCTGATTAAAACGGTTCTGGACTACAGCATAATGTGTCATTTGAAAGCAAACAAGTCCAAAAGGCCTCACCATTTTCTGTCAGCAAATTCTTCTTTCCTTGTTTGGGGATTTGACACATAAAACAGGGACAGCAGGCTTACTGCGGAAACAGTTTTCTCTCAGCAATTGAACACTGCTGCGCCACAGACTTATACATCACTAGAAAAAGCCACAATGGCCATTTACTAAACATGTTTTCCTTTCTGTTTTTGGTTTGTCTGCATGAAACAAATGGCTGAAAATTAAACAAGGATTTCACCGGTTTCCTAGGAGGAATTGTGCTTAAAATTTCATTTCAAAAAAGGCAAGATAGATAACATTTGTAGGTCTCTTCATGCCAATGGTAAAGTGTACCTGTAGCCCATCTGTAATAAATGTAGCCATTTTGGATGCAGTCTAGGAAATCATGATTTACCTCATTGTCTCAGTGATGTCACATGTGCAAAATGGCCACTTTAAGAAGACCACAGGTATACGTTAAACAGTGCGCATGAAGGGACCTCAGGCTTGCCACACTGGTCTGCTATACTGTGCTTCTGTAAAAAGGTACAGCCAATAACACAAAATGTTTCGTATTTTCTCTCTTTATAATTTAGTACAGGCCCATGTGGCAGCCAGAGTGACAATTTAAACAGCTTTTTTTTAAAAAAAAAACAAACAAAAAAACACAAATAAAACAAAGAAAAAAAAAATAAATAAATAGCTATTTTACATGGGTAAAGTTAATAGTGGTACACATTGTGTCACGTTATGCATGCACAAAAATGTTACTATACACTGCAGGAAGTCAGAAAACAATTTTACAGAAATAGATATATCTAAGATAAAGAGAATTTACAGATATTTACAAAATTCTTGCAATTATTGCCTCATCACGAGAATTAAGAGGTAAAGATTTAATGCTAGCTCACAGTTTCCAACACTCTTTTTTGCCCACACAACCAGCAATGCAATACTTTGAAAAAAAAAAAAAAGTTAACACACAAAAAAGGAAAAAGTTGCAACAGCAACCAGAGAGGCCTCACGTCCAGGCAGAGGGGTGCCAGGAAAAGAGGCCTAATAGGATTTGTAAGGCTTTACTAAACAGGTACAGGATTCATACACTAGAAGTAAACTAGCATTACAAAAGGCGTGTATCGCTAGCTCAACTTGTTACACCCATCAAAAAGTATTTTGGTCAAAAATAAAAAATTAAAATACTTTTTTTTTTTATTCTGTTCAACCACTAAATTGTCTGTACAAACTGCTGACAATCAAAACTACTGGCAAGAAACTCTGTCTTCATCTACGTTGAGATTCCAGCAATGCATAGATTCACTGAATATTACTGCATTTGCTATGGAGAATGATTATGTTTTGCTAAAAGTGCAACAGGTTGAGCATTCAGTCATCTGTAAGCAACTATGATTTCTAAGCCCATTCCTTGGATAAAATAAAAAAAAAAAAAATGACTTTAAAGTGTATATAAACCCAACATCTATTTTTGATGTGTTTGGCATCATGCCTCACTGTATACGATTTTCTTAAGCATGTCATGATTTGTGAAACTGTTGCAAATTTTTTTTACCTGGAGAACCTGCCATTAAAATACACTTTTGATGAATGGCTAACACGACACCAATGCCTTTCAACAGTGGTGTGATCAGCTTCCTGATCATGATTTTTCAGTTGGCTGTTGGGCTGGCCATCAGGTGTCTGCACAATGGCTGCAATGAAGGAGACCGCATGACAAGCCGACAATACTGCTGCTGTTCAGGGGGAGTTGTGACTTCGCATCAGCCTTCAGCAGGAAATTCTCTTATTGGCAGGATCTCCAGGTGAAAAACTTTGCAACAGTCACAAAAATTTGCTTTTAAAAAAAAAAAAATTTATATAAAAAAAAATATATTGTATACAATGAGAGGATTACAAACTAAAAGAAAATAAGTTCAAGGTTTATATACGCTTCAAGTGTGGGTAAAAATAATTCTGGAAGGAATTCATATTAAATACTAAAAAAAAAAAAAAAAAAAAGCAAAAACATAAATCTAGGCAAACAAACTGCATACAGAACACGGGAAAGGTATGTTATTACCCACTGTTGATCAGCCTAATAAAGCCTGCAGTGTAAACTTAATTATCCTTCAAAAAAATGGCAGTCGCTCAGGACCGATTCCAATGCAGTTCACAGTAAGTTTAATAAATACCCTCCCTCTGAAAAATCTAACTATGATCTATGCTCTCTGCACACGCCCCAATCGTGTGCCATGAATGAACGGTGAATGAACACATTCCTCGGATGGACTATGAGACGACATTCTCAACTCTTGAGCCTATCTGGAGCAGCGGTAGAATAAAGACAGTTGCAAAGTGTGCAGTGTGAAGGACTCTTTGGCAGAGAAGCACACACAACATGTGCATGTTATTTTTTTTCCTTTTAAAAATGAACTCTTCTGTGGCAAGTTTACAAAGGGAGCACACAAACTCAACACCTCTTGGCTGGGCATGTAATGTATTGGCAAGCTCTGGGCTGCTCAGCAGTATTTTTATATGGGCAATGTCAAAATGATTACCCTTTAATATGATCTGTTATAAATAAACTTGAATCACAGGTTAAGTAACTAGCACTTCATGGCTGTATCTGATGTAACTAACAAGCAAGATGAGGAAGAAGGGGGCGGAGGGGGGAGCAGTACATCCAGGCCCTGGTGTTAACCTCACCCACCCATGCTAGTCTGAAAAGGTTCAGAACAAGAATGAGGACTTTAATGTAAACTATGATGTGTGTTCTATCACTTTTCCACTTAAAGTGTATGTCTGGGCAAAACACACACAAAAAAAAAGAAGACTGCAGTAAATATCTGCAATACATGCATATTAACTGCATGTTTTATCCCTTAAAAAAAAAAAAAAACACTGCAAGTACAGAAGAATTCCCGTTTACCCACCAGAAATCCAGTGAGCCCCCAACTTCATGTTTAGGATTTTTGTGCAGCAAAGACACTTATCAGCCCAAACAGCACTCCATATGCAAAACAATCCCGCTGCTTTAACTCCCAAGTGCCTGTCCATATACCATACAGTGAAAGGACACTGAGATAGAGTTCTGGTGTGTGCCAATGTCAATAGGAACTGACCCTCAAGCAGCCACTCCTGCAGAAACTTTCTAAACCTGCTGTTCTTGTCACATGGCCTAATAAAAGCCATTTTTCACAGCAGGAACAAGGTATAACAAAAACAAAAAAAACAAAGGAATATGGAGATTTGGGGGTAAATTTTGGTAACGCCTTGACATACACTTTAAGTCTGGCCAAAATCTGCTATCTCATGAAAAGGTTTAAGATACACAGATCAATGTGCAATTAATTTTTTTTTTCCTTTTTTACAATCTTCAAAAAAAAAAAAAAAAAAATTGAAAAAAAGTATTACTCCCCTTCTCCCGATGAAAAATACAACACCGCAAAAAGATACAGAAGACACATTCAGCTCAGGTACACAGATCCACTCTGGCAGTATAAAGAACATTGTGTATTTATCCAAAAACATGGTGAAGTGTATGCTGTCCCATGCACCTGCTGGAGATGCTGGTCTTGATTTCAGCTCAAGTGCTCTTTTTTTTTTTTTTTTTTAAATCTCTTTATGAAATGGTATGTTTAAAGAAAAAAAAAACAAAAAGAAACAAACATCGTGAAAGGTGAACTGTGCAGTTTAAATAAGTATTTCCAACCCTGCTTTAAATAAAAAAAAAAAAAAAAAATTAAAAAAAAAATGCTACATTTAGCAGGGAACGGATCGGTACCTGTAAACATTGGTTATCCACTGAACTCTCTGCTGTAACGTAGCTTACATCAAGAGTCACCTAGTTAGATTCTGAACCTGTGCTGGTTTTATTTTTGGAGATGGAGACCAAGTTTATCTACCAAATTTTAAAGAAAAATAGAAGTTAAGCCTAAAAGCTGCTTTCCCAGATCATAATCCGAGTTCCCAACTCTGCCGAACATTGTTATTTCCACATTAAATGGACCAACAAGAAAAAAAAAAAAAGTTAAATTCTTGACAAAAATCAAGATATAGTTCTTTACATACAAAAGACATCACTGATGTCATAGTGAAAAAAGTTCAAACTTCCAGTGAAAGACTAGGCAAACCCGAAGTTTATGATCAGATTTTGCGGCGGCTGCGTCCCCAAAATAGAACGTTCGTAGGAGGCGGAGTCACTCCGACTGCAGGGCTGTATGGTGTAGTGTGTGCGAACTTATAAAACTATTTGTTTCATTAGCAGAAAGACTGCTGAAGTCTGCCATGGATACAGCCATTTTGGCACTGGTAATATGGTGCGAATGGTTGTCAAAGTCCACACTTAGGTTATTTACAGACACATCGTTGATGAAGGGTTCCGGGACGGAGATCCCCATTTTTATCCTTTTTGCCGGCCTCTCAGTTTCCTCACTACATAAGCTTACTGAGTTGAGGTCAGGAGGATAAAATCCAGTCTCAAATAAGGTAAAGCAATCACTTTCGCCATTGCTGGGCAAGTTGAGCAGATCTTCTGTCCCGACAGGCACGTGGTTCACTGGGCCACGAGGCAATGCATCTAGCGATGGGAAGCCGTCATTTAAACAGTTTACGTCTGTAGAATTGCATACGTTGGCCACGCTGTGAGTCAGCGCTGAAAGAATCAAGAAACATGCAACTGTAAATATAGATCTCCTGCTGCTTCTCAGGAATGCAGCAAAAATACACCTGGTACTCATATACACAACCTACACAATACACAGAGGCTAAAGGCTGAATTGCAATAATGACCCACCTGTAAGGTCATTAGCAGTTATATTCAGAATGTTAAGCTGGGTGTCAGGGATGGACTCTGTCCTATTCTGGCAGGTTAAGGCTGATGGATTCTCAACTCCTCCAAGTGCCTCTGCTTCATCTACCAATCTGTCCATGTAGTCCCTAAATACAAGAAAAAAATGGTGAATTTACATGAAAACAGATGACAAACTCCAATCACATCTGGCCAGTATTCAGCTGAACCACGAGACCAAAACGATTAGGTCGATCCACTGGAAAAACATTTTCTATGTAGCAGTGTGTGTTCACTACTGCTAAGTATCATGCTGAACATTGCTAAGCAGACTAGAATAGAAATTTGAAAAAATGCTACCAAACCATGTAGATGGCATAACATTACCAGGGTTATTGATTATAGGTTGTTGACAGCATTTAGGTTGAGTAAAAAGAAACGGATAAAAAAAACAAAAAACAAAACCTGTAACCCAAACTAAGATCAACTCACGTTACGCCAGGATGATGGTGATATCTTTTCTTGCCAAATCTTGTTTGCTGGGCAAAATTGTCATATCTCTCCGATTTCTTCCAAATGTAATAAAAAGCTACACATTCAGCTACTGTGTGGGTTCTCACCTGGGTAGTGGAATAAGAGGTAAAAATAATGAGACCATTTTAATCCAAACACAACTTCTGGAAGGAGTGAAGCGATGGTCTCACAGCTTTCCAAAAAACATTACTGTGCCAATGAGTGATGCAGGCAGGGTAACAATGAAGATAAAATTAGTGGAGGTACTCGGCAATTCCCACTCCAGACTGCAAGTCACAGGCTGTCATCTTGGGGATTAAAGAAGATCTGAATGGCTAAATGACACAGTCTTGAACTGGCCTAAAGACAGATAGAATGAGCAACTGCTTTTGCACCTTCAGCCTGCGTTCACATTGATGCAGTGTGGAATTTGCACCCGGTTCATGCGAACCGCTGTGGGTGTGTATGTTAACACCCCGAAATCGGTCCGCAAAATGTGGTGTGATGAGCAGAATCGCATCACATGGGTGTGAATCCCCATTTGATCCGATTCTACTGCGGACTACAAAAAAGGGTCCTGCACCTTTATGGTGCAGATGCAATGCGATTGGAGCCATACAAAATGTATGGTGCAGATGCAATGCGATTGGAGCCATACAAAATGTATGGGGTGCAGATGTGGTGCGATTGGAGCCATACAAAATGTATGGTGCAGATGCGGTGCGATTGGAGCCATACAAAATGTATGGTGCAGATGCGGTGCGATTGGAGCCATACAAAATGTATGGGGTGCAGATGCGGTGTGATTGGAGCCATACAAAATGTATGGGGTGCAGATGCGGTGCGATTGGAGCCATACAAAATGTATGGGGTGCAGATGCGGTGCGATTGGAGCCATACATGTATGGTGCAGATGCGGTGCAACGCACACAATTACATGTGATTTGCACAGGAATGCGGTGCAGTTCCTGTGTAAATCACATGCGTTATACTGCACCACGTATACGTGTACCCAGGCTCAGAATGATTATTTTGGCAGTTTAGATGTCTGGGGACCTAGAAAAAAGGTACAAGTGTGTGCAGTTCAGGTGAAACTCTACATTTGCCGATTTTTTTACCTTTCCATACATAAGCACCCTATATTCTATGCAATGTGCCCATCCTTTTCAGACGAGAAAACTGCCATCGTAGCCTCTGTTTGATTTGCAGTTTCCATGATACTGCACATGTGATCAGTGCTGTCACCAGCCATTTGATGGTTTCATAGTTTGTATGGGAGGACAAGCAAATGTGAGTTATTCATTGCACGCCTTGAATTTAATAGTTCGATTTTTGTTTTGTTTTTTTAAACAAAAATCGATGGGTTTAGTTTGTTCGGATAGATGGATAATTTTATACATGGCATATAATTTTTAAATGCCAATAGAGGGGCACATGGAAACGGGATGGCTATAAAAATAGCCATGCACTGAGGGGTCATGAAAGAGCTTGTCTTTACTCAGTCTGCCAAGAGCTCACACCTTAGCAGATACAGTGTGGCAAAAAATGAATTCACGCACAATGATTCAAGATGCTGTAAAGCCTCCATGTGCAATCAATGGCACCTTTAATGCACAGCCCTTTCATTACAAATCAGTACAATCTAATCACATTCATGTAAGAGCACACCACTAGAATGTGAAACATAGTTACCTTATTTTTCTGTATTAAATGAAAATCTTTCCCATGGATTAGAAGTGCATGTTCAAAATTTCTACATTCCTCCTCAGTCCAAGGCCTGAACTCTTCTTTAAAAAAATAAAAAAAAAAAAAGTGAGTTAAGACTTTTCTGTGTTTAATCTGGTAGTTTTATCTACACTTCAGTATAGAAAAACACGTTCTGCTGCTCAAGCTGCTTCCAGGTAGAATGGAAGAAAGTGGAGCCACATATCCCCACTGGGCCCTAACCATTGTACAAAAAACTTTTCTCCATTTGGAAAAAGTTGTTTTGTCCACGTGAGTAGCATGTAAATTCCCACTAGAAATCACGGCTACAAGTAAAAGGAAGGATGTGCTCCCTGTGATAGCATAGTTTCCCACATTACAAAAGTAGTGTCAACGCTAAATTCTAGAAGAACTGTTAAGTGCTAATGCAGTTCCCCAGCTGACTGAAACATTACTGTTTACAGACAATGACCACTGCAGTCATTAAAGTGGAGTTCCACCCAAAAGTGGAAGCTGCGCTTGTTTGCCTCCTTCTCCACTGCCGTATTTGGCAACATTTGGGGGGAGCGAATACCTGGTTTTGACAGGTACCTGCTCCCACTTCTGGCTTAATTTGCTGGGGCGGAGAGAGCCGGAAGTTCAGCCCCCTCCTTCCTCCCACAGTCTCCTGAGAACCTTCACAGGTCCCAGAAGACTGCCGGACCAATCAGAATGCACAGCGCGACTTGTGCGGGACCAGTGGGCACCTGGCTGTGAAGCCGCATGCTGTCACAGCCTGGTGCCCTCAGTTGAGATGCCGGCACCAGGGAGAGAAGAAGGAGAGAAGGGACAGCGCGGCTGAGAACATCGCTGGACCCTGGGACAGGTGAGTGTGTATTTATTAAAAGTCAGCAGCAACAAAAACTATAGATGCAGAGTTTTAATAAACACAAAAATGGCTGGAACTCCGCTTTAAGCTCTTACCATGTAAGGCTCCTCTACTGCAAAACCTTTCCATTGCCTCCGGGAAGTCGTATCGACACTTGAAGAGTTCAAGCAGAGCCTGGAAAATAGAAATGCCAGTGAATCCAAATTCAGCCATATGATTGATTAGTTCTGCTCATGAACATCCTGAACATAACAGGGACAGTCTCTTGTAATGTTAATCTAAATTTTTCTTAGAACACAAATACAGACCCAGGCAGGTCAGTCTCTAGTAATAACAGCCATTCAACAATATGACAACCTTTTATTGTTAAAGCGTTCTGAAAAGTAGCAGCAGGTTGGGGGTAGAAGCGGGTTACTGAACTGGTTTACAGAAACAAACCAGTGCAGATCTCAAATTGCCAATATCCACATTTCTATTTTAGCGTCCAAAAGTCGGAGCCTGCAAAAACCACCCTCTCTACACTGAATAGGATTTAGTTTTGTTCAACAGCAAAACTTCTATCTACAACAGTGGTACAACAGCTGATTTCATTACCCAGAAATAATATGGCAAATAAAAAAAAAACAATCCAACAGATAAAAGAATAAGTCACCTGTTCGTTATCTTTGATAGTTCCATCAGATACCCTGTGCACAATCCTCTTGTTCTCCATCTTCATGGTTTCCAAAAGAAAAGCCTCAACTTTGCTCTCCGGAATGACATCTGGACTCCAGATCAAGTGATCTTGGTGTTCGTAGTCTGTAATGCATTTTATAAACAGATATTATGTAGACTTTATTTATGCCACCCTCTGAATTAACTCTGATCTTGGAAAGCTGTGTAAATGACAACCCTTTCATTTCACAACACATGCCAAAGTATTGGGTTTACAATATCCTGCTTTATGCAAGATGAGATGTCAGTCCACTTACCAGATAAATCTGCCATGTAATGTCCCTGAAAAGGTGGGATTTCTGCCTGATACTGTGAACCAATCATTATTTCCTAAAAGAGAGAGAAAGATAAAACCCCATTTACCATCAAATCAATGTCCTTTGCGAAAAGTAGAAAGAGGGGTTCCTTCTTCAAAGTTGAATATTTGTGAACAGTAACATAATAAAGGCAGCCCAGCAGCAGATACCTTTATCCACAAGTTGGTGCTTTGGAAGCCCGGAATTGATGGAAACACACACACTTACTTTTCTTAAATCTTCTGAAGAATTTCCCATTTCGGTCTCCAAATCCTCACTTTCCCACTCCTTATCTCCATCATATGCTGTATTTGCTACACACAAGGTTAAAGACAAATGTTTATTAGGATGTGCAAAGTCACTTTCTTCCTTTAAACTCACAGATTAAGTAAATCACATTGATAGTAAAAACAAACTGTGGACCAATTTTAAGAAGATATTTTTGTAACATGCCTCCTAGTGCTCCTAAAGCAGTGTTGGCGAACCTATAGCACATGTGCCGCAGTGGGCACGCAGAGCCCTCTCTGTTGGCACACGAGCCAAGTCGCCCCAGCAGCTGAGCATCTGATAACAGGGCACATAGGGGCCATGCGCATGCTCAGAAAGGAGTAGCGGCGCCAGGCAACGATGTCACGAACCGCAACTCATTCATTGCGACTTGTCCGAGGTTTTGAATGGCCGGTCAGTGCACTGCCAAGGATAGATATATATATTGGACTGGCTTTGAGTTTTAATACAATTGTTTTTTTAACACAAGATTTTAGCTTTTGCTGGTGGTCAGTGCAACTTTGCCCCCCCTGAGCTGGTGGCAGTGCAACTGCTGGTGGCAGTGCAACTTTGCCCCCCTTGTGCTGGTAGTCAGTGCAACTTTGCCCCCCCTGTGCTGGTGGTCAGTGCAACTTTGCCCCCCTTTTGCTGGTGGTCAGTGGAACTTTGCCCCCTTGTGCTGGTGGTCAGTGGAACTTTGCCCCCCCCCCCCCTGTGCTGGTGGTCAGTGCAACTTTGCCCCCATTTTGCTGGTGGTCAGTGGAACTTTGCCCCCTTGTGCTGGCGCTCAGTGGAAGCTCTGTTATTGTGTTTTTCTTTTAAGACAAAAGATGTTAATGTATGGCTTGTTTTTTCTAAACTAAAATCTCAGTATTCAGGTTTAATTGCAGTGTTGGCACTTTGCGATAAATAAATGGGTTTTGAGTTGCAGTTTGGGCACTCGGTTTCTAAAAGGTTCACCATCACTGTCCTAGAAATATGAAAAAAAAACACCCTTCTTTATACAACCTTCAGATGATGTGTGTGATGCACGCATGCATTAGTTTCAGGTTAAGAACATTTTCAGAAGTTACAGAAAATAATAGAGACGCACCAATGCCGATATTGGTATCAGTGCCAATAACGTGTATTTTCACATATACTCATGAAAATGTTCCCAATACATGAAACTGATACTTTGCAGTACGATTTGTGCCAATACAAACTGTATGGAGGCAAACTGCACTGCAAAAGATTAGCATGCGATTTGAACTGGAATGTGATTCCTGTCCAAATCGCATGCGGTTTCCCCACTGCTCCAGTGTGAACCCAGGCTTGTCATAATCCAAGTTAACACAACAGCGGTGTGGGAAACCTCCCTGCACCAATCCATACTGTCACAGAAGGAAAACCTCCACAGCTTTCTCTCCTCTCCGTGCAGGGATTACAGTACAGACAAGCTGGCTTCCGATTGGTCAGCACAGTGGTGCTGCTGACCAATCAAAAGCCGTCTAGCCCATACCGTCATCCCTGTATTGAGAGGAGAGAAATCCGTGGGGATTTCAAATCCCTAGCTTTTCCTTCTATGACAGTATGGGATTGGTGCAGGGAGGTTTCCTGCACCACTCCTGTGTGAACTTGGCTATGACAGGTGGGGAAACTGCATGCGATTTGGACAGGAACTGAACTCCTGTTCAAATTGCATGCCATTCTTTGCGATGCAATTTGCTTCCACACATTTTGCATTGATGCAAAATTGCACTGCAAAGTATCGGTACTCGGTATCAGCGTGTACTGGACCAAAAGTATCCGTACTCGTACTAGATGATCAAATATGGTGAAGAGTTATTAAAACTGGTGCACTCAGAATCTGGTGCAGCTGTGCACGGTAGCCAGTCTGCTTCTAACTTCAGCTTGTTCAATTAATCTTTGGCAATAAAACCTGAAAGCCAATTGTTTTCTATGCATAGCTACACAAGATTTTGCACTCTCCAGTTTTTAGTAAATAACCCCCCATGAGAAATAATTTAGGGAACAAAAATGTTTAATTATTTTCTCTCATTTGTTGATGGACACAAATCCAGAAACAATCAGGATGCCCAAAAGCAGTCCAATTGAGGGGGTGGGCAAAAGACATTGACAGACCCAAGAAATTTTTGGGAACTGTCTAACTCAGAATACCTGAAGGACCAAAGGTCACTGGTAACAGTCTGAAAATCCAAGTGGTGCATCAAGAGGAGGAGCAGCAAAATTACGCTTTCACCAAACAAAGTGTTCAATCACTCAGCATCAACTCTTACTGCAGTAAAATCAGTGCAGGCAGGAAATTTGAAGTGAAACCAAATGGTTGGGCTGAAGCACCAACAGCTACACTATACTGCCAAAAGTAGTGGGCCAGCCCTCCAAATCACTGTATTAAGGTGTTCCAATCCCCTCCATGGCCACAGGTGTATACAATCCAGCATCTAGGTATGCAGACTGCTTCTACAAACATTTGTGAGAGAATGGGTTGCTCTCAGGAGCTCAGTGAATTCAAGGGTGGTACCGTGATAGGTTGTCACCTGTGCAATAAGTCCATCTGTGAAATTTCCTTGAACTAAATATTTCACGGTCAACCGTCCATTTATAGGTAAAGTTGATCCAGGGAATATCCGATTGCTTCTCGGGGGATCAGGAAGGAATTTTTTGCCCTGCAGGAGCAAATTGGATCATGCTTTGCTGGGTTTTTTTTGCCTTCCTCTGGATCAACTGACTGTAAGATTATAACTTTTTTTTTTTTTTTTTTACTGTTGAACTGGGTGGACTTTTGTCTTTTTTCAGCCAGACTAACTATATAACTGTCAGTGGTATTATAACAAAGCGGAAGCAACTGGGAACAGCAGCAACTCAGCCATGAAGTGGTAGGCCACGTAAAAAGACAGAGCGGGGGGCATGCTAAAGTGCACAATGCGCAGAAGTTGCCA